TTTTTTAGTGAGTACGCAATCAAGTACAACACACATACTCTTGACTTACAGTGTAAGGAAAGTTATCACTGCTACAACTTCTTTGTTAGTGGTAGGGGCTTTATAACAAGTTCATTTACTATCTTCTGTCTCTTGTGTTATTGTTATGCATTTTTAATTACATTTATAGTTTAGAATGCCATAAAATATTATTGTTTGTTTATTAAGTCAGTATTTATCTATATCTAACCACATATTTACTCTCTTCATTGCTCTTCACGCCTTCCTCAATTTCTTTTTGTTTTCTTTTTCTTTTTTTCTATTCTTTTTCTGGGGGTGTAATTAGGTTTATTTTTTTTTTAATTTATTTTTAGTGGTGATACTCAGGATTGTCAACTGAAATAAAATCACGCAACGTGATAGTAGTGGGTTAAGTTTTATTCGGGGTAAAACGAGGACCATAGCCCGGGAGACAACATCTCAGATAGCTATGAGGAACTGTTCCAAAGAGGTGGTGGAAAACTCAGTATTATATCCGATTTCAGTGAAGGGTAGGTACGTGCAGTCAAGTACATGTTTCGGCAGAGGCTGCTGCTAGTCACAGGGAGAAGAAGGCACTGTTAATGATTTTAGTGCTTTCTAGGTATGAAGAGATGCAAGAATTTGGGCTTATGAAATCTTCTCCTGATAATATCTAATTATTTAAGGCCTGTTCAGTCAATTTCCCCAGAGCACAGAGTGCATCATTCCTGAATTCCTTTCAGGGAGTGTTGGAGGTCAGCAGCTACAGCGGCTTGTGATGTAATCCAAGCAGGGTTAGATGGCAAGTGTCAACATGATCCAATCCTTGTAGAGGCAGGTGGCAAGTGCCAGTTTTCAGTTAGCAGGACTGAACCCAGGACCTAGTGTATGCTAAGCATGCACTCTATCCCTGAGCTACACCCTCCCCACAACTCCTTCTTAAATTTCTGTTTCTATCTGGGATCATTTTTATTCTATCTAAAGAATTTCTTTCCCTAAGTGCAAATTTTCTGGCAAAGACTTTTCTCAGGGTCTTAAGGGTTTATAACTAATAGTTGCATAGAGGTTTTCTTTTTTCCCATTGAGTGTAATATTCTACCCTGTTACTTTCTTCCATGACTTTAATAGTGACACTGTATTGTGTTCTTCCATCCATAGTTTCTGTTGAGAAGTCAACTGAAGTCAGTTGCTCCTTTGCTCCTTTGCTCCTTTGCTCCTTTGATAGTAACGTGTCTTTCTCCTCTGGCTGCTTTTAAAACATTCCTTTTATCTTCCTTATGTTCTTTGGTTTGACCACGGTAGGACAAAGTATGATTTTACCCTAACTGTGAATGTGTGGGCTATTTTTCATCATTTTTGGAAAATTCTCTGCCATTGTTTGTTTAAATATTCCTCCTGATTATTCTCTGTTGACTCTACTTCTGTGATTTTAATTGTATGTGTGGGAATCTTTTAAACATACACAGATGTATTATACTTTTATTTTTTCTGTATTTCCATCTTTTCCCTCTGCTCTAGTTTGGGTATTTTATATTAACCTGTTTTATGCTTTACTAGTCCCCTTTTCTCTGCATCTATTGTATTGCTAAAGCCATTTAATGAGAAATTAACATTAATTATTGCCTTTTTCATGTAAAAATTTTTTTGGAGTAAAACAGACTCCTTTGCTATGTACAAGGTTATTTCTGAGTTGCAAAAATTCTCTTTCCATGGTTTCATAATTCCTGTATTCCTCCATTCAATCTTGGCTGCCACAATCAGACAAAGTACAGAGACACTTTTTCTTGCATCTTGCTTTTTTCACTGCTAAAATTTCCATTTCATTTCTTCTTCATAGATTTCAGTTCTCCAATGAAATTCTCCACCTTTTACACTATTTTGACCATCTTATTCTCTATTTTTACCACATTTTACTCTATTCTCTTGGCCCTAATAATCATAGTTTTTAAAGGTCCTTGTCTGTCTGCTGGTGCAGCATCTGGATTATTTGCAGATGTATTCATATTGTGTGCATTTCTATTAGTTTTTTGGACATATAGTTCTCCTGGCACGCCTTTTAATTTTTGCTTAAACAACTGGATATTGTATATGGTATTTCGTAGAGGCTCCAGATGACATATCATCATTTCCAGAGTGTGTTCACTCTTCTATTCTGCTAAGAAGTTACAATGGGGACTAGTCACTTTCATCCAATCTAGATTTGGCTGAATCAAGACTAATTTGCAGTTTTGACAGGTTCCTATATTCTCTCACTGAAAGCCTGGGGTGGTGGGCAGAAAAATGGCCCTCCCCCCAAAGATGCCTATGTCCTAATCCCAAGAACAGTGAATATGTTATGTTACATGGCAGGGGAGGATTAAGGTTGCAGATGGAATTAAAGTTGTTAATCAGGTAGTTTGGGGATAAAGAGATGGTCCTAAATTATATGGGTGGGTCAGTGTAATCACAAGGGTCCTTTAATGTGGAAAAGGGAAGCAGAAGTGTGTCTGAGCGAGGCAATGTAAGAAAGACTGCACTTGCTGGCTTCGAAGATGGAAGAGGGTAGAGCCCTGAGCTAAGAAATGTGAGCAGCCCTAAAGCTGGGAAAGGCAAGAAAATGGATTCTCCTGTGGAGACTTCAAAAAGGAGTGCACAACCCTGCTGACACCTTGAGTTCAGCCCAATGAGATCCATTTCAAACTTCAGACCTACAGGCTATAGAACTGTAAGATAATAAATTTGCTTTAAGCCACTAAATTTGTGGTGCTTTTTACAGAAGCAACAGGAGACTAACACACCCAGCATAGTCTCTGGGACCTCTCTAAGGTGTGGAATTAATTTTTACCTCCCATTCTATGGAGCTTCAAATTGTGCCAAATATCTTAAGGGGAAAACTGGTCATTTGTCAGGCTTAGCTCTCTGCACCTCCCTTCTCATTGGGATCTGGCCTCCAATTCTGTTTTTCCAGCCCTGACATTGCCAAAGCTCTGCTAGTAGTGGCCTTTTGCTCAGGCAAAGCCAGATACCTCTTACCCTGTGCCCAGAAGTGGCAAATTCCCCCAGGGAAATGTGGTTGTGGAATGTTATCTCACCTCTCTGGGTCACCCCCTCCCTTTTCCAGAAATCTGGCACCTCTAATCTCTAATGCTCTTAAGCTTAGATGTTTTCCGGTGATTTATTGACATCTAGATGTATTCAATAAGAGCACAGTTCCTACACAAGCTACTTCTCACCGTCACAGAAGCACAAGTGAGGACTATGTTAGCTTCTCATTGTTAATCTTTATTTTTCAAGACTGTAGCATATTGTTACTGAATGAATGAATTTCACAAGCTATTAGGCTCACTTATAATTGCTCTAATTCTTCATTTACTCATACCTATGAAAGGAAATAGGTATCTGTGAGAGCAGAGACCGCATTTTTCAAGTTCAACATCCTAATCCTAGGTTGGAAAATAGTGCCTGGTATAATATAAGGCTCAAAAAATTATCAAATAGATGAATAAATGCACATAACGGATTGTCTCAAAAGTGGATTGAGCAATCATCTCTGTAAGCCTGTGGACAAAAGTCAAATAGGGTCAAGAGATGAACATTGCTCCTAAGGTTGATGATCTACCTAAAGCTAACAGCCTAAATCCAACAGGCCAAGGTGCATTCTGACCTCTGCGGACCAAAGTCTGCAAACTTCCTATGTACCAGGGCAGAGTCACATTGCAAAGGGAGGGCACCCACGTGCTAGAGCCATCCCTGTTGCTTGGGCACAATCTCTCACAATAAATAGCAGAGCAGTTAAGAAGATTGTACCGTAGGAAACAATTCAAAGGCTTCATGATGAATTTTGGAAAATCAGGAATTTGTAAATTTATCATTAATGATGTGCCAGGCACTGAGCTAAGTGCTTTTCAAATATTAATTTATAGTAACCCTAAGAGGGAGATGCTCTTGTCATCTCCATTTCGTAGAGGAAGAAAATGAGGCACAGAGAGGTTGAGGAACTTGCCCGAGGTCAGACAGCCAGTACACGTTAGAGCCAGCGTTCAAGCTAGGCAGCGCTCTTCCACAGTCCCGCCCTCCCCACTGTGGCCTCTGGAGCAATTTCACTCTTTCCTTTTTCCAAGGGCCTCTGTGATAACCAAGACTACCTCTTGAAGTGGCAACACATTTGTTTAAGCCCTGTCAACTTCAGAATTGACTAGGTTGCTACTGGTTGCTGTCACAAATCCCTGAATCTCAACAGTTTAACATAACAGAGGTTGGCTTCTTGCTAGTATAATGCCCAGTCGACAGCAGTGGTGGTGATTTGCTGGAGAGGCAGCGGTGGGGAGTTTAACCTTCATAGCTCTGGTCAGTTATTCAGACATCCAGGCTGAGAGATTTTTTTTTTTAATAATGGCAAACTTTATTGGCATAAATCACAGGAATTGAAATGGGGGAAAGCCAGGTTATAAGTTTAAAGAGGAAAAAAAAAATCAAACCAAATAACCACTGACCCAGAGGGTGGACCTCTGAAACCCCATGCCCTCTAGGGGAGGGGCCTGGGGCAGGTCACTGTAAACAGAGCAGTAAGGCCTGTGGGTGGAAGTGGAGACATCAGACCTGTGGGGGTTGGGGGGCTGGCTGACCTTCCCAGACCCCTGCTGCTTCCCAGTCCGCACCAAGGAGGGACCCTCTTCGGGACCACAGCACACTCCAGGCTGAGATTTTTGCTCCATCATTTTCAACGTGTGGTTTCCGAGACTGCCAACATACATGCTGACATCTAGAAATAGAAATGTGGGAGGCAGTGTAAGAGGTTTGCATGGACCAAGCTTGGAAGTGATAAACATCACTTCTACTTTTATTATATTGGTTATAGCTCAGTCACTTAACCCCACCTAGATGTAAACAGGATAGGAACTGGAATCCCTGGCTGGGCAATTTTTTTCCCCCCAGCAACAACATATACTATGAAGGAGAGGCATATGTCTTGGGTCTTTTATCTTAGTTTGAGTTCCTCCAGAAAACACATTTTTAGACAAGACTTTTCAAATGTTTTATTTGATAAGTATAGAAACACAGGTTAGAGAATGGGAAGTAAGACAGAGATAAGAAGGCATCCAAAGGATGTACGGACAAGTCAGTTACCACTGTGGAGCCTGGGGCTTAATTTCACTGGGGAAACTCTGGGAGCCAGGGTAGAATATCCCAACCAAGGGGCTGGCAAACAAGAGCCTTCATACACCAACTCCTGCTAGTCATTGAGAGTTTTTCCCATGGGCCATAAATCCCCTGCCTCCCTGCCTTCTGTGCAGGTGGCAAAGCAGACTCCGGGTGTCAAAGAATGCCCGTATGCAAAAAAAAAAAAAAAAGGTTCTGGAAGTTGGAAGTTTCCCAGTGTGCCTGTGAGGGGTGAGGTTGACGGATACATACGGGATACTAAGGGTCTGCTCCATGGTCTCTGCCAGAATCCACCACGTGGTCCAGTGACATATGGACTAAAAAGACCAGCTGCTGCTCACCCCTTATCCCCGTCCAATCGCATACGTAACATACAGTGGTGGAGCAGGGACAGAATAGCAACAATAAAACTCCATTTCATAAAGGGGAGGGGTGGAGACTGGGAGCTATTCCTGGTCAGTATCAGCTTTGAAGTCCTACTGGGCAGGCGTGTGAATTAATCAGGCGGGGTGGTTCCTCTGCTCTCTGAAAGTAGTTCCTTCGCTCATTGCTCTCCAAGGTCCTGGCAGCCCCCTCTGGGAGGGCCTACTTTTCCACTCCCTTCTCTAGCCAGGTCTGGATGGGCTACTGAGGAGTCTGTGCTCCTCGGGGGCTGTATGACTTTTCACCCACTTCCTACTATGCAAGCTTGAAGACTGTGTCAAAGTTCGAACACTCCAGATTTCTGGTTTTCTTTAGTCACCTTCAGATCTTTTTGCTCCCAGTCAGTTTCATGTGGTGGTCTTCAACTTCACACATACAAGACAAGGCCAAGGCCTGATGGTGAGAAGATACATGAGACACTTTTAGATTTAGATCACGTATTACTTCCATAGATGTCAAAAAAAGAAGCCAAAAGTACCTCCCACACACCAAAAAGGATGACACCAAAGCAAAGGGGCTGGTGAGTACAACTTGAGTTGTGGGAAACCCCATGGCTGGGGAGCCAAATCTAGATGGCAGCTAAGTGCTTTTATACTCTGCAGCTCTATCCTGGGGGGAGTGGTGCAGGAAGCCCCACACCTCATCAGAATCTGGGAGGTGATGAAAACTATCTGATGACAGCCTCCTAGAGGAGCTAGGAAGACGGTTGGGAGGTGGCCTCCATCCCCTCATATTCCATATGTTTGGCTGGGGCTCAGATGCGCTGCAGCTCCAACCTTTGCCTATATGGGTGTGTGCAGGGTCGTCAGGAAGCCACGGCAGAGCTGTTCCCCTACAGTAGTAGCCACACCCACCGTTCTCTCCTGGACTCATTTTCAAGACTCTCTCTCAATTGATAGTGCCTACCCAGCTTAGATGGGAGGACCAAACTCTTTACAAGAACATTTCCACATGGATGGGTTGTAATGGACGTTTGCTGTGCAAAGGTTTATCTCTTGTTTTGGGGGCCTAGATGTAGTCAGCTTTTCCAATCTTGCAAAACCCCACAGGTTTGAATTTTTTAATTCCCTTTTATTTTTTGTGTGCAGGCAAGCCAATTCTTCTCAGTAACCAATAGCAACCAACACGTGTTGCTGACATTCTATTTTACCTGCTCTTCCCTACATTTCAGCAGACTCAGTAGGCCTACTGAAGTCTCCTTTCCCATTACCCTCCTACCTTCCAGGTACTGAAGACAACAGTTTCGTTAAATATTTGCCACTACAAAGACTATTTCTGTAGCAATAAAGATCATTACTAATCTCATTTCAAAAATTATACATCCCCTTATTTTTACACATTTCTTTGCATACAGCACTGGAAACAAATGTAAAACTCTATCACTGGAAAAAACCTATTTTTAGCTTATTTTTTAGTTTTCAGAAATCTTATCTATGTAGCAAAATATAACAAGAACTACTCATATTCCTATCATTCGTATTTTAAAAGTAACTATTTTGTCATATTTGTTTCCTGTACTTTTTTATTCTACAAACAGATAAAGTTCCCTTTAAACTTACTCCAAGCAGGGTCTGGAGTGTCTGGCTCTAGGTGACAGAAGTGTCAAAGAAACAGAGGGGTGGCCCTGAATGCCAGGGAGGGGAGGGGAAAGTTAATCCCCAGACCCCAACTTCGGAGGCAGCTTCCTGAGGGCACATCACAATGATTCCCCATTTTCAACAAAATCTTCATGGACCAAAACCCATATAACGACTTTCATCCTTTACTAAGGAACTGCTCTTCAGGCAAACTAACATGCATCAGAACCAGTCTGAGGGGCTTGTTAAACTCAGAGCAATGGACTCAGTAGATGTGGGGTTGAGCTCAAGAATGTACATTTCTACAAGTTCTCAGCTGATGCTGATGCTCCCGGTCCCTGCACCCTGCAGGTAGAGAACCAGTGCTCCAGCTAATGCCCCAGACTAGGTACCTCGGAGACAGACCGTCTCTGCCCATGTAGAGACACAAACGGGAGACCCTCTCATCTGGTCTCCTATTTTACAGATGAGGTCGACTCCCTGCTATTTAAAACCAGTCGCTAAAAGCTAAAGGGTTGATATCATTTCCCTCCTCTTCTTTAGCAGCACCTACGACTCCCCTCCCCCTGTGAGGCCTCCACATGGCACCAGGCAAGTCAGGGGCAGGCTCCTGCCCGCCATGCTGACCTCTGTGCAGAGATGGGTGGCAGCACGTGCCGGAGAGCACCCTGGGGGCTCAGCAGGGGCACAGGGTTTCCAGTCATGCGACCTCTGCTCAAGCCCAGGTGCCGCCACTCCCTGGCTGTGTGGCCCTGGGCAAGTCCCACAGTCCCTGAGCCTCACTTTCCCATCTGTGTGACACGGACAATGATGCCACATGCTACAGGACTGCTGAGCAGAGTGAGCAGGAATGTGCAAACAGGAGTCCTCTGTCGACTGTGAAGGACCCAAGAATTAGTAATTATTATCACACAGCTCTCCACAGACTTACCTCCTCACAATGAACTTGGTGGCAGGATCTTCTTTTTATTCCACATCTCTAGTAACTTTCATTTATGTATAAGGCTTTCCTCACCCTCTCCCCGACAACAGGCCTTTACCTTTAAGCCACAGTGTCACTGATTCTGACTCACCTTCCGTGGGTGTGTTTACACATTTAGATCCAAGCTGTTCTTTGCCATATTGAGACTCTAAAAAGAAAAAGAAAAAGAAAAACAGTCAAGGCACAGAGGATTAAACTCTCACATTACTTAACCTTTGATGAAAAAGAATATGAAAACGGATATATGTATATATATGTACGACTGAGACATTATGTTGCACACCAGAAATTGACACATTGTTTCTGACTATACTTCAATAAAAAAAAATAAAAAAATAAACTTACATTACTCAAGCAGAGTCATAATCTTCTTAACCTCAGTAGTCAAGAATAAAATGAGAAGAAATGTGAACGCAGCAGTTTGTCATTGGCCGTCAACAAGCCAAGATTCTGTAGTTCTTTACTTCCTCTCCCCTGATTTTTGTTATTTGAACATTAGGTTCCATCCTAGAATATGCCCAACACTCGTGGTGTTACACAGCAGGAAAATGGGATGCTCACTGAAAAGGTTTGGGGCAGGGGAACCCCTGAAGACCCTGGGAAAGAACTCTTTCGCGTCACCCTGACATCTTTCTTCTCCTTAGATCTCTTGGCTGTGGTAGCTGGTGAGCAGGTGAGCACGTTCGTTCTTTATTGGAGGAAAAAGAATCCAGTCCGCCAGCCCTTGGGGTCAAAAAGACTTGGATGCAGTCTTAATACTAACACTCACTGAGATCTTAAACACATCGTTTAATTTCTCTAAGCGTCAGTTTTTAACATCTGTAAAATGGAGATACCACCATTTGCCTCACAGAGCTGTTCTGAATGATAATATAGTTTCTCGTTGTAAAATATTTATTGAGGAATCTCTCTTTTCCCTGACTTTATTTTTTGGATGTGTTAGGGCCTCTTCTAGCCATGGGCGCTTGTCGAACTCCCAACAGAGCCCAGGTCCGCCCTTACAAGCCATAAACCCAGAGGCTCTAGCCCTAGCCTTCCCGGGATGCCACGGCCGGATGCACCACTCCACCCCCGCGGGCACCGCTCCACAGCAAATGGACAACTCCGCCCTCTCCCGCAGCTACCACGGCGTCACTTCCGCCGGAAGAGGCGGGAACGTTCGCGCGGCGGGCGCG